AATAGCGAGGACATTTCATAGGTGGTTGACCAGCCACCTTCCACAGCAGTTGGTGTGTTACCAGATGTGTCAAAAGCATTCAGTGGGAGTCTCACAGGTTACCTCTTAAGCTTTTCTGCAGTTTGGGAGAATCCTTCAGACATCTGTAAAACTTTTGTCACGGACTTGCATGTGATGCCTTCATCTGCCAGGTGCAAGTGACTTGTAGCTCATTTTGTTGTGCCTGGCACGGTGGGTGATGGTATTTGAAGCTGAGGAGATGATGCTCTGCTCTGGGAAGAGAATGCCACATAGTCAGGCTCAAAGATGTCTAGGAAGTAGCAGCCCACCAATCCCTTAATTGTGGTTTCATCTATGGAAAAAGAAATTACTAGTGAGGTTTGTGCTGGAGGGCTTACATCTAGGTTCATTACTTCTACCTTAGTCAATACATGTTGTGTATTGACCCCTGGCTATGGTTCTAGCCTGCCCTTATTTCTGTGCTTGCTTTTAAGATGTGTGATTCATGAAATTCACATCTACAAACATGCCCAGCTCAGTGAGATATCTCCTGATGAGGGAGAATAAATGAATTAACTTTCAAAGGAAGGAAGCTTGCTATAAAACCAGCTGATAAGTCTGTAGATCTTAAGCTTTTTCCTTGGGGGCTGTAGCGAATCAGCTTTTGTCATCAAGAGAAAAACCTGGCTTCTTCATCTAGCTTGATATATTTGATAGAGAGGGAAAAAGCATGACTTTCATCAGATGTCTGTTTTAACCGAGCAAAACAAATACATGCAACAGGAAAATCCTGGGGATTCTTCAAGTGCTCTGACCGCTAAGGATGGACGATTGATCTGAAGCTTGGTTTTAAACAGGAGCCAGCAATAATATACAATACATTATTGTCTGCAGTCTAAACATTGCCACGGTCTCCACTTCACCCTCTGGTACTGTAGGACTAGTTTCTCTTCATCTGCTGGTGTAAGCCCTGGGGTTTGCCTGCATAATATTGCTAAGTTACTGGAGTGTACTCCAGCTATAAAAACATTGCACATGGCTTTTAACACACAGAAAAATTGAATCTGCCCTGCTGGTGTTAGTGGCTATGCCATTTGTTTATCGACCAGACAAGTCGTCTCTTAATTTCCTTGTTGCCAGTGTTTTGGCTGGGAAATTGAGGTGCATTCAGACATCATAATAAAGATACTGTAAGAATGTGACAGGATGAATTATCCTGCTAAATATGGAACCTGTTGTGCCTCCAAAAATAGGAGTTAATTTTAGAGACTGCATGGATTTAATACATTTTATTAGCTTCACCATTAACTTTTTTGCTTTTTAGAGGAAGTTTCTGTGCAAGGGTCAAATCCTTTTCTCTTTGGTACTTTGAAAGAGTCAGGATGTTTCAGCTACATTGACTGACATGCTGGAAGTCACGATTGGAGCACAAGTCCTTTTTCCATGGCCTCTTGAAAGACTTTATCAGTTTTGAGGTTGAGTCCATGAAAGAGCTCAGCAGAACCTGAGCTCCATTGTACATTTTTTTCCCAAGTGCTTGGCAGTGGCAGAGGAAATTCCTAGAGGTTCTCGCTGTTCTTCCTTCAGCTATCAGCACCTTTCTTCATATGCCACCCTCTGTGTTTCCTGCTCTATTGCCCAGCTTTTGTGTAGGCTGACTGGGGAACAATGTGGTTTCCAACCCAAGTTCTCACTATGAGAGAAAAAGCCACGTTGACAGTGAAGTAGGACCAGCGCTCTTTTCACATACGATAAACTGAATTTCCACATTGCTGTGAGGATAAAGAAGTGGGGGATTATTAAGTAGTGCTTCCAGAACATGCACCCAAAATATCAATAGTTTGGTAGCCATGTCTTTCTGACCAAGGAGACTGGTGGTGAGCAAGTGTCTCAGCACTAATCATGTCAGAGAGGTGACATGGATAGTAAAATGTCATCCCTGCACATTCCAAGTGATTGCACTTACTGCACACAAACAGTAGGTCCTGATTAGCTGTCTCTGTGCTGTATGGGTCACCATATCCCTGAAGTGCTAAGTCTGCTGTGCATGAAGTATACATGCCCACAGTCCACTCCAGGTGAGAAGTGCAGGAAAGATTGTGCAAACTTTCTCATCACGTAATTTAGGGATGCCATTCAGCTGGAGAACTGTTTTGAGCACTGTTTTTGTCCCAAGTGCTCAACAGAAAACATAAACCTTTCTCCTTCTTTTTTTTTGTCATGTGGTTTTGGAAGATTGCAGGACAACTTTTAAGTGTTTTTTGATTTATATAGCAGGCCTTTATTAAGGTCTCGCTTTGTTTTTTACATATCATCCCAACAATTATTATGCACATTAAGTGCACACTCAATCATACAGAATTTTAATTTATTTTCAAACTGGACAGACAAATTGCAGAGTCGTATCTCCTACCATAAATGACTGCTAATTGGAATCTGATTTTTGTACTTTACCAGATTTTTGTTAAAATAGGAATTCTGGAATCACAGCAAAACACTCTTTAACTAGAGCAATTGCAAGCTGCCATGTTTTAACATCTTTGTACCCTTTATCTTATCACTAGCGTTCCTGAAATAAATGAATATTTACTTGGTATATGATGGAATGACAATAAGGGCATTTTGCTGATTGCTCTGTCACGTTTTTGCATTCTCTGTGAATTTATCCTCACAAATTCTTTAATATACCAAATAGGTGGCAAAGAATGGGACTTTGGACTTAACTTATTGGGCTGTTCTGGTTAGGCTGCATTTTTCCTTAAACACGTGGGGTTTTTATAATTTAGTTTTTATGGTAAAACACCCTTTGATAAAGTTGTTATCTGTATGACAGCAGCTGACTTTAATATATGAACCAAATAAATACTTGTGGGGTCAGTAGAATAGATTCAACACAAAGAAAGATATGCCACCCATCTTTTAAATGTGCAGTATTATCAATATTGCATATATGGGCATACTACAAGACAAATTTAAGGCAGATTTCCATATAGAAATGCTCTTGTGCAACTTGGATGAGTAAGTTCTCTGCTAAAGTGACCTCTCTTACACAAGTACTGATTGAACCCTGGATTTTGAAGTCTTATAGCCATTCGTTAAGTTTCCTTGCTTTAACAGAATGCAGATGACAACTCAGAGCTAACTTTAATGGTGTTATGCACAAGCTCCATTTAGAGGCAGTGATCCAGATCAGTTGATGGAAAAATTGCTTTACTATTAATCTTGCACTGTTCACCCATTTTCCTATGCTTTCAATAAGTTTCTCCCAGAAAGAATGTTGTGGGATTGTTTGACAGTATTTACTTTTTGATCCATTGTATTTGTTACTAGAAAACTGTTAAAATACATTGCTTTTCTTACATGTCTCATTTTCTTGTCTAACTGGATCGATATCTGCTATTTAATTGCAAACATTTTAACTACTAATTTTCATATACATCATGGCTGCTGTGTGTCCTCAGAACAGAGGGGGCTGCCCTGGAGAGATCTTTCTTTGCTCCGTTGTTTCATGATGCTGCCATTGGGACAGTATGGTGGGATAACTGCATCCATCATTCTGTATTGGCCATGATAGCAGATCTGCCCCTTGATGCAGAAAAAGCTGTCTTCTGCAGAAGTCTTTAGTAAAAAAGTATGTTATCCGTGTGGTCTGAAGAGCTGAATGAAGCATTCTGGTACTTCTGAGGGTGAATGCTTCTTTGCTTTCCTTATCTTAAAGTGTGTCTAATAGACGTGCTCTGTCCCTCTACCCTAGACATGCTCTGTCCCATTACCTCTAAGTTAGAAACTCCCTACAACATGTATAAAGAAATTTACACTATGGAATTGATATTACAGCTGTAATAACAAATCAGAGTTTCTACCTAGGAGGAAAAAGAAAATTGGCACATTGCCTCCTTTCACACTTGCATTCCTTTCAAGCCCGAAACAAGCGTAATATTGATGTGAATGAAACTGCTTGGGGTGATGTAGTTTCTGCCTTTTGCTAGGTAGCCTTGAGACAACTACAGAGGTAAGACAGATTGCATGTCCAGTATGAATAAGCAGTGCTCTCCTGCAACAGTGACTGTTGTGTTCTGGCCTACTGTAGTTGAGGAAGAGAATAGCTGTCTTGTAACAAATATTTTGGATTTGTGCTGTTTTCTACAGCTGAACATGTTGATTTTAGGTCTCATCAGTTCTACCTGAAGTCTGAGCAAAAACTAGAAAGGAGTCAGTTTACTGTTTCATTCCCAGGATATGAACATTAGAACCTTGATTTTCTTTATAGTGTTTGGGTGAAAGAGGCAACCAAGCCAACAGTATAATGGTGATTTAGCTTGGAAGTAAAATATTAGATGTGCTATTTGCTTTGTTTCAGTTTCCAAGTGGAAGGCTATTGTTTACAAATTATTATTCCATGGACGCTAAACTATACTGGCAGCATTCTAGACTAATTCAACTTTTTCACACAAAAAGGGCTTTGTGCACGCAACATGTCTAGTGCATTCCGTCACCTTTGTTTCCCCATGAGGCAAGATGACGACTTGATGGAAATATGACATTAGAAGCTGCTGTGGAGCAGCCAGTGAAGAACGTTTGCTTTTTTTGTGTGTCTCAAGTGAGATTCTAGTGATGACTAAAAAGGTCAGGTAGGAGGCTTGCAGATGTAAAATTGTTTTACTGCGAAAGTAAATTCTCTTGGACTGGATTTAATTAACGCAGTTGAGTTGCAAAGTCTACTCCAACAGAGGTCACAGAGGAGCCTGAAGGCTGCTGTTACCTCTGCCTAGAGACTGAGGGAGGGACTCAGTCTCCAATCACAGTGTACTTCATCGTATAAAGTTTGCGTAAAATACTTATGCTTTGTGGTAGGTCCATTTTCATATTCAAATCTGGGTCACTTGATTTTCCAACTATCTTATTTTTTTAAGCATAAAACTACTGGAAGAGGGGAACTAAGCTGACTTGATAGTGGAATGTGATACTCAGTCTTTGTTATCTTTGTTTTCTTCCTCTAGATGAAGTGGTTCATGTCTCAGTCCCTGAGAAGCTCACCTTTGAGGAAGCTAAAGAGCTGTGTCGGAAAAGAGATGGCGTTCTTGCTTCTGTTGGGAACCTGTACGTCGCCTGGAGGAATGGCTTTGACCAGTGTGACTATGGCTGGCTGGCGGATGGCAGCGTTCGTTACCCAGCCTCGGTGGCAAGGCCCCAGTGTGGTGGAGGTTTACTTGGGGTGAGAACCCTGTATCGCTATGAGAACCAAACAGGCTTTCCTTACCCAGATAGCAAGTTTGATGCCTACTGCTACGAACGTAAGCTTTTTTTTAATTATAATTTTCAGTATGCTCACCATGTTAACCCTGAAAAGTGTTTTCTTTAATATGTGTTTTGTTTCAGTTCTCATGGCATGTATGAGTTTTTAAAAAATTGTTTTATCACTATGGCTTTATAAAAAAGAGAGAAAAGCCGAACTAAAACAAATGTCGTAAAGTAACATTGGCAGATAAAGATAGGCAAAGTTTTAAGGTAAGATTTCAGCCTGAGTAGTGTTTTTACACAGAGTGACACACCATATCCACAGTCACCCTGAGACTGCAGATGATACATATTTTGGTGCCTGAGTGCACCCTGGTATTTTGTGTCATGTCAATGAACATAAGAACAGAAGAAATGTCCTACTTGACCAGGTGAATGACTGTCATCTAATTTGATATTCTGGATCGTGGCAATAGGAGAGGCTGTTTACAGGCTGCATACAAGCCTGGCCATTTTTAGGTCTCTGAGATGCCAGTAATTTGGGGGCTATCTCTGGATTCCAGGCATTTTGTCCCATCATATTTTTTAGGCTTCTAAAGCAGTTGTGAGTTCTCCTCTCACTCACTCACTGTTTCATGTGCCAGTCAGCTGGTACTGTGGATGGTCTAAATTGCCTTTCTTATTGCTGCTTGTTTCTCTTCTGGTATTTTCAGAGGTGCATCAAGCATTTGCCACATTCACCTGGTAGACTGCATCAATCTAAACCAGATCTCCTCCACAGCTATCAGCTTTCTGTTGGCTTTGGGGTTAAATATTCCTCTGTAAGCTCTTCCATCTTCAGTGCCAGCAGCCTGGCTCTGCTATTATTATGGTGCAGCCTATCCTTGCATAGATTCCTTTTATCCCAAATGTTCACCAGCTTCTAGTGTACCTGAGTTTCTCTTCCCTATATCATCTCACCTGTGCATCAGTTCCAGATCCCTGTCTGTCTCCCAGGCTTTTCTGGAACTGGCAGTGCTTCATAGACCCCCACCATGGAGGTCCTGGTCTCATCTGCCTGGCCTCCTCCAGAACATCCCTCCTACATTTCTCTCTGTCATTAGTGATGACTACTTACTCTTTCCCTGCACCTCCAGAAACCCGTCCATGCGTCTCATGATGTGCAATGTGTAAGTTTCTGTGTAGCCATTTCAAATACCAGAGACAAGCTATGTGTCTGTTAAGAGAGGTTCCCATCACCTTACTTCTATCCTTTAAGATCCTCTCCATCACAGGAGTGTTCTTTGTGCAAGAGGACACTGATACTGGAAGGTGCATCACATCTAAGAGATCAGATTGCTTCTTCCCAGCTGAATATCCTGCTTCCCGGAGACTTGCAGCCTCCTCAGCAGCATAAGGAGGTTGGACTGCTCAACAGTTTTCCTGCAGGCCTCTCTGTTCAAGGAAGTTCCTGTGGTTGCAAACAGTACAATTGACATTAAGGTGTAAAGGCTACTTGTGTTGAGTTAGAAGTTCGGAACTTGGTCTTTAACTATGAATATCTAGGGGTTTTGGACTCAGTCCTGTGACTGTAAGTCAGAACTGCTTGAAATGTGCAGCCTGTACTGTCCCAATTTTTGTGGATGATGAACCAACTGCAGCTGCAGATCTTTCCAACTCAGGCATTGAAGGCTCATTTATGAACAAACCTTGCTGCCTGAGAACAAATCCCAACACCTGGTGTAACATTACAGTCTGGCTGTTCTCAGACACTCTTCTCCACAATATTTTAAAATAGGATTTTTTTTTTTTCCTTTATTGCTTGTGGGTAAGATGTTCCCAAACTTTGCGTGTGGAAGTAGTCCTAACGGACTTCAAAGGAACTGCATACAGGAATAAGGATTAGTTAAGTTCAGGAATTTGTGTTGTAATCTGCAGAGCAGAGTTTTGTCATATCATTCCTTCTGTCCCTCCCCGAAATTGTTTATGATTGGTTTTAAGTGTCGTGGGTCAAATTGACTTTAATGGGGATGAAATTCATCAGCCCCTCTAAAAGACCGAAGTAGGGACTGGACATTTTGCCTGTAATCTAGTCTTTAGTTAGGACAAATTCCAACTTTCTGTTTGTTTGTGTGAATTTCACCCCTTTCAAACAACATGTACCTTTTCAATGTTCTTTCCGGAAGTTTTAGTTAACAAATTCTAGTGACATACCATTTGTTCTAAAAACATCCTTGATAAGTATTGGGTTGTTGCCTTTTGTATAACTGCTTTTTCTGCACACTTTTGCCCTTGATACACAGAGAATAAATATTTCATCAGTTTGCAACCCAGGAAGTAGACAGTCATGACTATCATCCCTTTTCCAACGGAAAAAAAAGACTAAACAGAACCAACACAATTTGGTAGACAGCGGGCTGCTCTCTAGCAAATTTAATTGCAATCAACATTACATCAGAATTAATTAAACGCTGCTAGCTAGATGACTCAGGTTTTGCCAAATGCATCTGGTTTTGTGTAGGGGAATGCAGGAGTATGATGCTGAACCATGTACCCTCCTTCGTGGTGCCTGTCTGCCACATATTTCATAAGTTACTGAAAACTCTCTCTCCCTCTCAGAAGGTGCTCGGGATCTCACAGGAACCAGCTGTAACTCTTCATTGCTTTTGCTAAAAGATTTATGCAAGTGGTGAGTAATGAGACTTGCTGCCTAGCATCTTGGTCTTTCACATCTCAAGCAGCTGCCTGAAGCAGAGGCTGTAGAGTGAGTCACTCTCTCCTGTTGGAGCCTTGGAGCCAGTCCCTTTTGGGGGGCAGAAAAAGGGAGAGAAAGAAAAAAATGGTTCTACAGTATAGCAGGAGGCTTGAATTTAAGTCCTTGTTTCAAATCATTTTTTGTCTGGAAATTTCTTCCAAAACTTCCCATTATCTCTATTTCAGTGCAGTAGTCCATCACATAAAGTCCACTATCCTCAAGCTGTGACTGCTTTTAGCTCAATATGAAGCTTTTACGCAGCGATTCCCACCATGCTAGACAACAAAACAATCCTCCCTAAGATCTTGACTCTTTCCACATAAGTCCCATCCAGTGCTTATAGCACTTACTGTGCTCATTAGGTGTCTCACATTACACTGTTATGTTTCCCTCTTTCCCTAAATACCCAGTCATACCAGCAAAAAACTTCTGTTGCTGACAAACAAGAAAAAAGGGAGGTTGTTACATGCATTTATGAGATCTTAGTCAGCTAAAGGGAAAAACACAGAGTGCCTCTGCGAACAGGGCAGGATCAAGCCAGCTACCCAGGTAGTACCAGCGCTGAAGGTCTGCAGCACAGATGTTCATGCAGTGATCTCAGGTTTTTTTACAGCACCCCCGTAAACTTTCCTCTGCCTCCTGGTGAAAGCTAGTGAAGTTCCCATTGACTCAGCTTCGAGGGTTATGGCCACATGTTGCACGTTTAGTCTGAAGTGAAATGGCAATGATGAAGGACCTGCGTCTGCCACTTTTACTCATGCTGAGTAATACAATACTCCCTGAGTAAGGCCACCAAAACAAATGCCTCCCAGCCACAGAAAGGATGAGTCCAATGCTTGAATTTATACATACTCTGAAGCAATAGATTTGCGGCAAAGCAGGCATCTGTTTTAGTCATTACAAAAGTAAATTGTATATTTAAGAAAGGGGATATCTCTTTCTTCAGCCCTCTTAGAGTCTTTGCTCTTATCCTGTGATTAAGTCTCTTTGGTGGAAAGTCTCAAAATATTAATTTTAAATTGCAGTTAAAAGAAACCTCAGTCTGTATTTTGAACATTTGACTTACTTTTAAGAAGGAATCATATTTATTAAAATATATGAAAAACAGTAACCCAAGCAGTAAATTCAACTTAAAAATGGTATGCACTAGTTTCAATAAAACACCCAATCTGGATAACATTTAACAGTATAGTTAAGTTCAGGATTTTAACTTCAGCAGTGTTCTAGTCACAAAATTTCATTGTACAAAGTGTCTTGACTTTATGAAAATAAAAGTGGCCCAGAGTAATAATACATGATTTAAAATCTAAAAAACTTGTTAAAAAAAATAAAAAAAACCTTCTTCACTTTGATCACAAGTGTTTTTCACTCTACAGAAACCACATGGCTCTAGGTTTCTGAAACTTTATCCGCATGTTTCCTCTCATCCCTCCAAGACTTTTGCCAGACTTTCTAATTTTTATTTTTGTCTGAGAGGTACCTAATCATGTATCTGATGGGGCTTGAAAAAATTTCAGGTTAGACACATGATTAAGTACTTGAAGCTCCTTGAAGGCCATCATCAGAGGAAAAGTTTTTCAAGTGTTAACATATAGAACTTCTATTTACAATTAAAAAAAAAAAAGGTAGAACAACTGTTGCTGAACACTTATGTTTATTTGTAAGAGAATAAAATATTGTATCAGCAAAAAAAAAAATTCATTTTTAATGGGTACCTATTTAATAGTTAGTTCTGGCACAGAGCTATAGGATATTTATTTAATTCCATCCCTCAGCCCTCCAGTCTCGCCAGGCCTAATTGGCTGAAGTTTGTGGGAATCTTGCCACAGACTTCAACTGACTTTGGATGGGGCATTTTATACTATAGTATCTGTAGAATAAATTGCACTCCAGAAATGCGCTAATTAAAATGTATGCAGTTAGTCTTACATAACTGCAACAAAACTGGACTTGATGAACTTCATACAGGTGGCTGAATTTTTGAAACATAAATCTGTGTTTTTCTGAGAAACACTGATTTATTAAAGCTGAATTCTTTTGTAGACCTGTATTGATTTTGGTGAATCTTTCAGCAAAACATTTTTTGCTTGACTCAAAACACATGTTGACCACTTTGCTCTGGATTTTACTATTTTGTTTCAGATTTGCTCTTTCATTTTGACTTTGTTTCATGCACCTTTGTTGCTTTTCTTTGGTTATGCCACTTTGGTTTGGCATGATGATTTCATTTTAGCTGGAGATTGGAAAATTCCAGTTCTGAGACAGCATTGCCATACGCGTTCATCGTGAATGGACTCCACGTTGTTTTGATTGTTTCAATAC